GGTTGCCCTCACTTTAAAGACCACATGGACAGTCTAACAATTCTCCTGGGTGCAAGGCTATGTGAAGTCTGCCCGGCTGCAGGCTCCAGGAGTGTGTCTACTGTACTGTTTCTGTTACTATAATGGAGTGCATGTGGGGCTGCCTTTGAAGGTGGTCCACCCACTTCAACTGATGTGCCTCCCGAGTGCTGGTGGGGGAGAAGCCATGCAGGCACATCCTGCCTACACTGCACCAGCTCTGCTGATTTCCGGTGAGTCTGCAAGCACACATGAAGGTTCTGGTTTGACCTTTAAAGCCTTAAATGGTTTGGGATTACATTACTTGAAGACCCTCCCTCACCCGTATCACCTTGCCCACACTTTAAGATCAGCAAGAGGGACTCATCTCCTTTTCCCACCTGTTAGCAGAGTTAGTGGGGAAACTACATGATAGACACTACGCGAGAACCTTTTCTGCAGAGGCCCACACGTCTGGAAGAAATTTCCATCAGGGTCCACCAGGCCCCATCACTGCAGGCTTTTTGGAAGGTCCCAAAAACCTACTTGCCTTCTCCTGATTGTGTGTTATTGGAGTAGGTATGCAGCTGAATGTGGTAGGTTTTGTTTTTATGCTGGTGCTTGTTGTTTTCATGCTGATGTTTGTTGCTTTTACTGTTTTTATTATTATATTTGTTTTTATTATGTGTGTTTTATTGTTGAACACTACCCTGGGAGGGCTTCTGCCCTGAAAGCTAGCCAATAAGTTTTTGAATAAATAAATAGCTCGTGAAATACAACCCATGGACTTTGAAAAAATAAGTTTGCACCTCATGGCAAACCATTGACTGGAGGAAATTCTAGCTTACAACATCTTCCTCTGACTAATATTCTTTGGAACACAAAATTAAAAACAAACAAAGCACCCTCCTAAGCCTTCAATAAACGGAAATTATATTAGAGGCACAGCAAAGAAGCTAACACAGCATGATGCAAGAGATGTGTGATTAGAAATAGGGGCGCTGTCATTTGCTGGGACAAAGATCCCTTCAGGATGCTGGTGAATGATTACATTCAAATACTCCCCCATATATAAAGCTATTTCCCTGCATGTCAAAAGCTAGCATATCATATGAAACCATTTTAACCTACCCTTTCCTTTTGAGCTAACTCTCTATATGTAAGGAATTTTCTTTTAACATAGGTGGCAACTGAAAGATATTGTCTCCTGTCTACAGTCTGAAGAAACAAATTCCTAGACGAACAGTATTGCATGACCCAGCTTCAAGTATTTGCCCGAATGGGGGAAGGCTTAAAGCAGTGGGTGTTGGACCTCTTTCAGCCAAATTATCATTTTAGAGGAACTCTTGTGGCTGCTTCCCAGCAGTGGGCAGAGACAAAGGAAAAGGGAACTGAACCAAAACTGCCAGCATATCATAATTTAAAACTCTTCCTAGTGCAACTGAGCCTTAGCAGCATTTTGGCCTCTGAGGGTAGGCCTGAACACACACCAAGAAACCACCATGGTTTACAGAGCCTCCATCTCTCTCACGGGTCTTCCGGTCCCTTTGAGACCAGGGCTGGAGTGCATCTACTTGGTGTTGGGCGAACGAGACAGATTGGGGATTCTATTGGTGTACCGTGCACCTTTCTGCCCAGCAGTCTCCCTATCTGAGCTGACAGAGACCGTCTCGGACCTGGTGTTGAGGACCCCCAGGATGTTGGTCCTGGGGGACTTCAATCTCCATGCCGAGTCTGGACTGACCGGGGCGGCTCAGGACTTCATGGCCTCTATGACGGCCATGGGCCTGTCTCAACACGTCATTGGCCCGACCCATGAACGTGGACACACTCTGGACCTGGTATTCACGACGGGGCAGGTAGAGGATGACCTGAGGGTGAAGAACTTATGTTTGACTCCCCTGTCATGGTCAGATCACCTCCTGGTGAGGTTTGTGCTCGAGAGCGGCCTCTCCCTCTATAAGAGTGCGGACCCGATTGTATGGGCCCGCCCCCGGAGCCGGATGGATCCAGATGGATTCCTGAAGGCCCTGGGGGAGTTTCCGGCTGACTAGACTGGTGCTCCTGTCGAGGCTCTGGTCGAACTGTGGAACGGAGAGATGACCAGGGCTGTGGACACGATCGCTCCTAAGCGTCCTCTCCCACCGGGCAGAGTCCACTCTTCCCCTTGGTATACACCTGAATTACGGGCGATGAAGCGAGTTGGGAGACGGCTAGAGCATAGGTGGAGGAAATCACGAGATGAATCTGACCGAACACACTTGAGAGCCCACTATCGGGCCTATGCTGTGGCGGTGAAGGCGGCGAAAAAGAAGTTTTTTTCCGCTTCCATTGCCTCCTCACAATGCCGTCCAGCGGAGCTTTTTCGAGTGGTGCAAGGCCTGGTTTGCCCGGGTCCTAAGGAAGATCCGATGCCACCCTCAAAGGCCCGCTGTGACGACTTTGCCAGGCATTTCAGGGAGAAAATCGCTCAGATTCGTCACGAGCTGGACTCCACTAATGAATCAGAGGTCTCTGAGGAGTCGCCAATGCCACCGTCTGGTCCAAAATTATTGGAGGAATTTCAATTATTGCGGCCCAATGATGTGGACAAGGTGCTTGGAAGAGTACGTCCCACCACTTGCCTATTGGATCCTTGCCCGTCTTGGTTAATAAATAACTCCAAGCACAGGATTGGGACCTGGATTTTGGAAGTGGTTAACGCTTCTCTGAGGGAGGGCCGAGTGCCTGCCCCTTTAAAGGAGGCGGTAATACGACCGGTCCTGAAGAAAGCGTCACTGGATCCAGAGATGGCCACTAACTATAGACCTGTGGCCAACATCCCGTTTCTGGGCAAGGTGTTGGAGCGAGTGGTGGCGGGACAACTCCAAGCACTCTTGGATGAAACTGATTATCTGGATCCTTTTCAGTCCGGCTTCAGACCCGGGTACAGTACTGAATCTGCCTTGGTCGCCCTGTACGACGACCTGTGCAGGGAGAAGGACAGGGGGAGTACATCCCTGTTGGTTCTTCTGGACCTCTCGGCGGCTTTCGATACCATCGACCATGGTATCCTTCTGGATAGACTTGCGGGATTGGGGGTTGGAGGCACTGCTTTGCAGTGGTTCCGCTCCTATCTCGACGGTCGATTCCAGAAGGTAGTGCTGGGGGACCATGTCTCTACGTCATGGCAGCTATGCCATGGGGTACCACAGGGCTCCATTCTATCCCCTCTGCTATTTAACATCTATATGAAACCGCTGGGAGAGGTCATCAGGAGGTGTGGGCTGCGGAATCATCAATACGCTGATGATACCCAGCTTTACCTCTCGTTCTCCACTAATCCAGGTGAGGCAGTGGCTGTGCTGAACCGGTGCTTGGTCAAGGTAAGGGAATGGATGAGGGCCAATAAACTGAAACTCAACCCAGACAAGACGGAGGTCCTGTTGGTTGGCGGATCGGGTTTCGGAGAGGGTGGATTTGACCTGGTCATGAATGGTGCAACACTCCCTCTTAGGGATAAGGTCCGCAGCTTAGGAGTACTCCTCGACCCGGAGCTTTCTTTGGAAGCTCAGGTGACAGCGGTGGCGAGGAACGCCTTCCTTCAGCTTCGGCTGGTCAATCAGCTGCGCCCCTACCTGGAGTACGACTGCCTGGCGACGGTGACACACGCGCTGGTGACTTCCCGCCTAGACTTCTGTAACGCGCTTTACGTGGGGCTTCCCCTGAAGACAGTCCGAACACTTCAATTGGTGCAAAATAGAGCTGCCAGGTTGCTGACGGGGACGGGGCGTTATGCTCACATGACTCCAGTCCTCCGTCAGCTTCACTGGCTTCCCATTGAAGCCCGGGCCCAATTCAAGGTGTTGATTATGACCTACAAAGCCCTAAACGGCTTGGGTCCTGGCTACCTGAACGAGCGCTTACGTCCGTATATGCCCAACCGCCCTTTGAGATCTGCGGGAGAGTCCCTTCTCCGGGAACCCTCCATGAAAGAAATTAGGAGAGTAAGTACCCGGAGGAGGGCTTTCTCTGCGGTGGCGCCCAACCTATGGAATTCACTCCCCAAAGAGGTCCGCCTAGCACCGTTGTTACTGGTTTTTTGGCGCCAGGTAAAGACCTTTTTATTTAAACATCATTTCAATTGTTAAAACATATGATCTGGCCTGGGCAACTTCTTCTTCCTTCTCTTTCTCCTCCTATATTTTTATTTTATACTGATAATTTTAATTTTGTATTTGTAAAGCAATGTATTTTTTGTATTTTTATATTTAATGGTAATTTATTATGTACTATTGTATTTCAATGTATTTTATCATGTTGTAAGCCGCCCCGAGGTTTCGGCAAGGGGCGGCATAGAAATGTTATAATAATAATAATAATAATAATAATAATAATAATAATAATAATAATAATGGTTCATGGTCTGGAGAAAGGCTATGGGACCAGAGGAAAAGGACTATCCATCCGTGGAACCCTGGAAGGCTGGATTAGGCTCTCAGACCTGTTCTATACCCCTGGCTTGAAGGGTATACTGGCAAAGGGCCATGCTGGTCCCAACCTTTTCATCAGATGTTGCTCTTTGGCACCCCCAAGGTCTGAGAGGGCGCCCTACTTGCATGTGTTTGAATGAGAAAGAACATCTCAGCACTGTTACTGAACCTGGAAAGGCGGGGTCCATGATCCTCCACTTGCTCCCCCAGCACCCACTTTAGGTTCTCACAGGTTCAGGTAAATATGATGTTTAGGGGTATGTAGGCTGGCCAACTATCCTTACAGAATTTTTTGGAGCTTAGACAACAGAGATAGAAAGTGAATTTTACTGCTAGGGGTGACTTAAAGGTTCTTTGTGAAGGTTCTTAGACTGTGATTTCCACAGCCAAAGAACAATAACTGATGAAGAAACATATCCAGATGTCTGTGTGAAACACATGTAGTGGACAAAAGGAGCCAAGAAAACTGTAGATTTCCAAAGAATAATATAGCAGATTGTTTGATTCAGAACATTTTAATCCCACTCAAAAGGATTCCAGAGATGTTTACAAGAATGAATAATTAGACAGTTCTTGCCTTCAGACGTACAATCTTAAAAAGGCATGAGACACAAGGAAAGAGATTGGGAGGGAGGAGGAAAGAAAACATGATGGTGATGATGAATCAAGTTGCCTGGAACTGAATTCAGCCCTGAACTGCATCTTTTGACCTTCTGCACTAGCATATTCTTTGCTGGCCTGTTCCTCTTCCTCTCCTCACTTCTATGGTCTCTTTTTATCTGTCTTCAAGCTTAATCTGTCTTCTCACATTCCACAAGGTAAGATGTTTCCTCAGATGCCATTCTGGTGGCAGTTGGGAAAGGCAGGTGCCATTGGGTCCCCTTAGTATGTTTCAGGAGTCTGGGTTTCAGTTCCTGGACCTATGACACTGACAGACAGACACAGGGTGCCTTTTATTATTATACATAGGAGTAGCAGTAAATCCATCAACAAGGAAGCCACCAGAGTCAATGAACAAGGCCTGGAGAAACAGTTGTTTTCCCTAGAGCCAAAAGGACAGTGCCAGGTTAACCTGCCTTGAGAAGACATTTCACTTGTGGGATGCCACAGTGAAGATCTTTTCTGCAGACACTGCCTGCCTGCCTTCTGAAGGCCAGAGGCATCAGAGAAGGGATGGTGAGCTTAGCATCTGGACATGGAAGAAGGCACTCCAGTATGTACCTTTTGCATATTTTTCTCATCGAAGCTCAGAGGTTTTCAGAACAATAACAGCTTCCATCATCATCTAGTTAACACACACTGCTCACAGTTCCAGCCCTAATATTAACTCATCTGTACTTCCGGAACAAGAGCAAGTGATATGGGGAACAGCCAAGCATTTATGTATGCAGATATGAAGCAGCTGCACTGAGAGAAATGATCACTTAGGACTCTTCTGTAGCTTTGGACTATCACTGAATTTTATTATTCTTATCCATGCATGAAAAGCTTGGCAACCCATGCTAAGACGAGGTGGTGTATAAACTGAACCACATGAATTAGATGAAGGTGGTGGTGGTGGTGGTGATGATGATGTCATCAGCATCATCACAGGACTGTTTTGGCAAGAGATGTTTTGGCACTGAATTTTTCTCAGCTTAGATCCCCAGACAGAATCATAGAATAATACAGTTGGAAGGGGCCAGGTCTGACCCCCTGCTCATTGCAGGATTCCCAGTAAAACCATCCCTCTCAGATACTGTCCAGCTGCATCTTGAATGCCTCCAGTGTGGGAGAGCCCACAGCATCCCCTGGTTATTGGTTCCATTGCCGTACTGCTTCAGGATCAGGATCAGTTTTCTAGGAAACATAACACCAGATATTTCCATGATCTTTGCAGTTCTATAGACAGCTGGAAAAAGATTGTCACTGTGTGTGGAAACCAGAAACACTCATTCTAACTGATTATTCTAAAAGCTTATCTCTGCATCTCTGCTCTCTTCCCAACAACCACATACACATAGGTGTTGAGATGCTCTCCCAAATGGAACTTTGGTGCCTGCACCTCTAAGGAAGCCACTGGTCTGATGTGTTGTCAGCCCAATGCCCAACCAGTGGGTGATTATATCCTAATCCTCTTGGGATAGGATATCCCATGGCGTTGTCCCAACAGCTCCTGGCCTGCTTGTTTATATAACATTCTTTTTCTGAACCACAGCCATGGCATGATCTCCTCTACCTGCCATCTGTTGTTTGTCTTCCTGTGAGTTTTATCTTGGTTTTCCTCTCTTGGTTGCAAGAAGAGTGCCTGGCTGTCGTGCTAATAATTTAGGATCCACATCTGGATCCATAGTCACATCTGAATGGAATATTCTCAAATTACAAATTGGGAATCTGCTGTTACATTACTGTAATTGTTAATCAATCATGACTGGCAAAGTTCATAAAACCTCCATCCAAGTCAAATCCACAGGTAATACATATACACACATTCATCAAAGGGTAATCACCTGCAAAGGCAAGTTACTATAAAGCTGTCATGGTGGTGGATACAGTCCACACATACACAATGTGTTGACACATGTATGGGGTAAAAAGATTCCAAATGCACTACCTCGAGCTATCCACACAGTCGTCCATGCTAGCTTGAGCCAATGGCTCTGTTATGTTATGTTATTCATGAAGTTGTGCCCGACCCATCGTGACCCCATGAACAACATTCCTCCAGGCCTTCCTATCCTCCACTATCCCCCGGAGTCCACCTAAACTCACACCAACTTCTTCAGGGACTTCAGGGTCACCTCATCCTCTGCCATACTCTTCTTCTTTTGCCGTCAATTGTTCCCAGCATTAGGATCCTCTCCAGTGAGTCCTTCCTTCTCATTAGGAGGCCAAAGTATTTGAGTTTCATCTTCAGTATCTGGCCTTCTAAAGAGCAGCTAGGGTTGATCTCCTCTAAGACTGACTGGTTTGATCTCCTTGCAGTCCAAGGGACTTGCAGGAGTCTCCTCCAGCACCACAATTCAAAGGCCTCAATTCTTCAGCACTCAGCCTTCCTTATGGTCCAACTTTCACAGCCATACATTGCAACTGGGAAAACCATAGCCTTGACTATACGCACTTTTGTCGGCAGGATGATGTCTGCTTTTTAGTATGTTTTCTAGATTTGCCATAGCTTTCCTCCCCAGGAGCAAGCGTCTTTTAATTTCTTGGCTGCCGTCACCAGCTGAGGTGATCTTGGAGCTCAAGAAAATAAAATCTGTCACTACCTCCATTTCTTTCCCATCTATTTGTCAGGAAGTGATAGGCCCAGATGCCACAATCTTACTTTACTTAATGCTGAGTTTCAAGCCAACTTTTGCACTCTCCTCCTTCACCCGCATCAAG